TTCTGAGAACAAGTCACACTTTCATCTTTATATCACCTTGATAACAACCCACCTGTGGCATCAAGCCCTCTTAGAGGCAGAGTGTGCTTATTTGTAATGTTAAAGTCTCTGCAGAGGATTTTGGAATATTTGCTTTGTTTTTTAATTTATTCTGTACAAGTGGGAAGAACGTCTTTATTTTCCGGAGACTGACAAGCGGTGCTATTGAAATCACCTTGGAATAGCCACTTCTCAGAAGGGGCTATTGTCCCCCAGCTCAGCCTCAGAAAATGCAAATCTAGAACTGGAGGGAGATTTAGAATGGCTTACATTTGTCCTCTCATCTTAAACAATGAGCTGTGATCTGCTTCATTGGCATATCAGGGGAGCAGTGTTTACACAACAGTGAGACAGATTTTTTTTAGAACAAGTATTGCAACCAGGTTTGGGGGGGCACAGAAATCAGCATTTGAATTACATAATAAACTTATGTCTACAAAGTACTTTCTTCTGTTAGTTGCCTTGGTCATGGTGTTTTATCACAGTAACAGAAAAATAACTAACACAATATATTTACCTTATATGGTTATGTTTTAAAAATGGTTGCTTTAGTTAGCAAACAAATAAGTTGACATTTTATACATTTATATCATGCACCTTGTTTTATAGTCCTTATTGTATCACCCTCTCTAGGTCCATCCTTCCATATTTCACTGATCTCACTCTGATACTATCTATTTTGTTATCATGTATATGATATGAATATATTAATATAATATATGGGGATTTCTCATATGAAAGAAAACATGCAGCATTTGTCCTTCTGAGTCTTAATGTGATGATTTTTGTTTCCATTTTCCTGCATGTGACATATTTTTCTTCTTTATAACTAGACAGAATTCTGTTGTGTACATATGCTTGCCACATTTTCTTTATCAGTTCATGTTAACAGACATCTAAGCTGTGTCTGTGTTTTGGCTCTTGTGAACAGATAGACAGGGAACACAGCTGTATAGGGATTTCCATGTATGTTGACTTCAGTCCCTTTGGATTTATATTCAAGAATGTTAAGCTGGATCATATGTTAGCTCAGATTTTCCTTTTTTGAGGGGCTCTTCACTTGGTGCAGTGAAACTACTGAAAGTCTATGCTCTTTGAAAAATGTCAAATATATGACTCATTATTGCCACACAGCCCTCATGCTGTGCTTCCAGACTTACTTTCTAATTGGAAATGTGTTCTCTTTGATCAATATCTCTGCATTTTCTCCACCCTTAACCTGGGGTAACTATCTTCTACTTTGTGTTTGTTTGTTTCTTTCTTTAAACTTTTTATCGGTTCTTTGTGAGTTTCACATCATGCACCCCAGTCCCAATCATCTCTCCCTTCTTACCTGCCTTCTACCCTTGCAGCCCCCTGATCCCAAAAGAGAAAAAAATCTTACTGCGGAAGCTGTAGTGTGTCACATTGTGTTTCACAGTATACCCATTTGTCTACACATTTTTGCTTGCAAATGTTAATTGTAATGGCTTGTTGGTCTGGTAGAGGCCTCTGGCTTCTGTTACTTTATCAATATTGGAACCTCAGTGGGATACCTGTTGCCCTGTGTCATGGAGAGCCTGTAGCTTTGATTCTATAGGACTGTCCCCTTCATGCACTCCAGCATTTCATCAATGGGGTAGATGTTGGGGTAGGCCGATTTAAAACACTGGATATGGGCCTGAGGGGTATCTGAGCTGGCCAGACTCCTGCTCTTCTATCTCAACCTGAAACATTCTCCCCTCATCCCCACAACTAGGGCCAGCTCTAATCTGATGCCCAGAAGATGCAGGGCCTGCTCTTCCAAGTGTTGCAGCCAGAGAGGGACGTGGATATTTCCAGTTCTCTCACCCTCATGACCCTGCTCTCTCACCTCCATCGTTGGCAAGGGATGAAGGAGGGGAGGAGGGCATCTCTTCTCCCACACTGCCCAAGCTCTTCCATTCTCATTCCCTTGGGGCTGGCTCACAGCTCTACTATGCTGCTCAGGTGAGGGACAGGGCCAGCTCTTCTGCTCTCATGACACAGCATCCATACCTGCAATGCCTCTAGGGGCAGGGGACTTTATGTTTCTTTAAGTTGAACAATTTGTGGTTTCCAGATATAAGTGAGATTCTATGTGTTTCTTTGTGTCTTTGATTCATTTTTGCTTGGCTTACTGTCTTCCAGGTTCTTCTATACTGCATTAAGCAGTGTTTGCTTATTGTTCTTTTAAGCCATATGCTGTTGGAAATTTGTTATGTACCAATATATAGTAAACACTGAGTGTGGTAACTGAGGTGCTATCCTAAATATCAAAGCGGCTGTGGAACTTGGATTACACAGTTATTCAGAGGACTTAAAATTGGTAAAGGAAAAAGTAACTTAAAGGTATAAAGCCAGTAGCTTGGTGCTCCCTAAGGCATAGCTAGCAAGGTATTACAGGAGGAGGAAGAAAATGCTATTGGGAATAGTTTTGCAGCATTAGATAACCAGCACAAGCAGTCATGACTCTCCTTAGAGTATTTAATGTGCATACGCTGAAGTTATGAAACAGATTTTATGCATACACAATCTGTGTATAGTTGTTGCTTAATCTTTGATTATTTTTAAGCCTAATTACTTTTCACCATATTATTGAGAGAGAAACTCTCTGATCACAGAATATTGACTGTTTGGCAAAAGTCTGGTACCTGGGAATTGGTCATAGGTGAATTCGAGTTGAGGGTCTCATATGAGTGAAATGAATAGGCAGACAGTGAAGGTTATTATTTAGAGGATTAGAATCCCATGAGAGACAAGTGGCAAACATACCTAGTGTTTACTCAGAACAAGAATCCCTGCAGACCATGAAGAGGCTGCAATATCGCAAAGCTGAAATCTGGGCCTGATTCCCAACTTCGGTCCAAGGTCTTGAAAGTTGTATCTTATAGGTTTTTTTTTTTTAAATTCTTCTATATTTATTATTTATTACAATTTATTCACTTTGTATACTGGCTGTAGCCCCCTCCCTCATCTCCTCCCAATCTCACTCTCCTTCCCTCTTCTCTCCCTAAGCCCCTCCCCTAGTCTACTGATAGGGGAGGTCTTCCTCCCCTTCTGTCTGACCCTAACCTATCAGGTCTCATTAGGACTGGCTGCATTGTTTTTCTCTGTGGCCTGGCAAGGCTGTATCCAAAATGGCCATCCTACCAAAAGCAATCTGCAGATTCAATGCAATTCCCATCAAAATGTCAACACAATTCTTTACAGAACTTGAAAGAACAATTCTCAATTTCATAAAACAAAAACAAAAAACCCAGAATTGTTAAAACAATAAATCTCCTGGAGGTATCGCCATCCCTGATCTCAAGCTGTACTGTAGAGCAACAGTAATTAAAAACTGCAAGGTACTGGCAGAGAAACAGACTAGAAGATAAATGGAATCAAATAGAAGACACAGAAATAAACCCACACACCTACAGATACTTGATTTTTGACAAAGAAGTCAAACCATACAGTGGAAAAAGATAGCATCTTCAACAAATGGTGCTGGTCTAACTGGATGTCTACATGTAGAAAAATGCACTGTATTTATCACCCTTCACAAAACTAAAGTGTAAGTGTATTTTTTAATTTTGACTTGTAAAAATGGAGATAATAGTTCCAGACTGAAACAAGATGGGGAGTAAATGTCTTAGTAAATGGGATATAGGTAGATCTATGCCAACTTCTTATTAAATGTTGTGTATTATCTATTTTTGTTACAAATAACAGAACTTGTCGTATATATATTTCAGACATAAAGTGTTAATACAAAAAGAAACAAAATAAAATGGACTAATCTCATCTTTGACTTTAGTAACTATTACTGTATACTCAAGTGTCTAATTCACAGTATTTAAGCTTAGAAAGTCAATTCAGAGTAATAATGCTAAAATGTAGGCAACCAGCCAACTGGAAAAAAAAATCATGCTCCTGAGGCTGTTGTGGGCATTTATTATTATTTCCTTTAATGGAATGTTATGTTAAAATTTTCATTTGTTAGTAGAGCAATACAGCTTTTAAATTTCTCACAGAAGCACTTCTAGAACTTGTCGTTGGAATAATTTTGTGTACCTTAATACTTTAGGCATTCATACAATACTTAATTGAGTGCTATGTTAGTTTATATATGCTATAAGATAGGGAAACTTTACTATAAACAGCTTAATTAGAATCCTAGGTCTTTCAAAAGTAGGGATTTAAGTATTATTCATGTAAGCATCAATATTTTCCACCTATTTTTAAATATTGGTGTGCCTGTTGTATTATTCACTAACAATACTTTTAACCAAATAAAGTCATATTACATTATGATTACTTAGAAGCTTTTGAAAATTCAGTTTTTCTTCAGATAATTAGAACATTGAACTATTTTCTTATTTATCTTTATGTGAATGAATGTGTGCAAATGTGTTTGTATGTGTGTTCCGGTGTGTACGTTCAGGCATAATTCAGGCTATGGATGGAGATCAAGAACAACCTTAGGCATTTGTCCCCACTTCCCACCTTCCAGGAGAGGGTGACTGTTGTTCGCTGCTGCTCTGCTGGCTAGTCTGTCTTTGAGTCTCCCATCCTGACTGCTTTCACGTGGCTTGTGGGTCTCTGCACTTGTGTCCTCATGCTTGCATGGCCGTCACTCTGCCCACCGAGGACCCAAGCCCTCTTTCTGACTCAGGTTATCTTAGCGATATCTTCAATCTTGTAAATATTCTTAGAATCAAACTGGAAATTACAAAGTAATATTCGTATGAACAGATATAAATGTAGTTTTTCATAAACTTAATGGTATAAAAATACTAATTGAAATAATTTATATCTAAATGTATAGGCCTTGTGGAGAAAAAGGTTGAAATAGAATTATATGTACTTAAAAATTTCATATTTAGGTAATTAGATCTATTACTGTATTTGAGGTCAAGTAATGTTAATATAATAACATTATTCCACTATTTTGCATTTAAACTTGACAAACTACTCAGATGTCTCCATAACTGAAGTATCGGAAGATGACTGTGAATACGAAGAGGTAACTTGTTAATTTTGCATCTTAGGGAATTCACTGTAGCCATTCCTGTGAATGGTTTGTGTTGTTTTTTGGAACATATAAGAACTTTATTTAAGATAAACTAATTTTTGAGTAGAAGTTAGCTATTGGCTTCTTATGAGTGCTGTCTATACTTGGTGGGGGGGGGACCTGCCTGTTTCAGTAACCATCATCATTCTTTAGATTCAGCTCCTGTCACTCCCTTGTCTATGGCTCCATAGATGGTCATTCCATACTGGAACTTTTTTCATCATGCGGTTTGTTCTTGACAGGAATTGCCAGATTGCTAGCACCGGTTGGAGCTCAGGCCTCTGTTTCTTCTACCCTAACTTTAGCTCTGCAAAGCATGCTCCTGTCTCAGCATTTTTCTTTAATTCATTGTTCTCACCAAAATCTGCCATTACTTCTGAGACTTGGATATAAAGTCACTTTTAGATGTCAGAAACTGAATGTGTGGAAGCAAGCCTGGTGGCCTGCGGCCTGGACAGGCAAGAGGCTCGTTAGTTATTTAATGGATACTTAATGGATCTCTAAAATCATACAGTGTCCTACGTGGGTTATATTTCCCTTTCTTTCTTTCTTTCTTTCTTTCTTTCTTTCTTTCTTTCTTTCTTTCTTTCTTTCCTTCCTTCCTTCCTTCTTTCTCTCTCTCTCTTTCTCTGTCTTTACTTCTTTCTCTCTCTCTTTTTTCTTTTTTTCTTTGAGACAGACTTGCTCTGTGTAGCCTTGGCTGTCCAGCACTCTCTTTGTACACGAGGCTGGCCTTGAACTCTCAAAGATCCATCTGCCTTTGCTTCTCTGAGTGCTGGGATTATAGGCATGCACTACTGTTCCTGGATAGATTATATTTCTTGGAAGATTAAGTTTAGAAAGAAAATTTCTGAAGCTGAATGTAGATATGTTCCCTTATGTTTCCATGTCAGCATTAATTAAAAATGATGCTTTGTTTAGTTGTACAGTTTACTTCCTCAGTGCATGAGACCTGCCCAATATTGTACCCTATTTCTGGGTTAGTTATGCATGGTCAACTATAGTCCAAAAATTCGTCTTGAAAACTCCACAGATAAAGAATAAATTTTAAATGACTTTACTGTAGGCTGTAGTTATGATTGTTATGTTACTATTATCATCATTACTAGTTTCTTATTGTGTCTAGTTTATAAATTAAACATTATTGTATGCTTATATGGAAACAATAGTATATGTAAGGTTGAAGTCTAACCACAGTTTGAAGCATCTGCAGGATTTCTGAGAATGTGTTCCTCATATTAGGGGGATTGCTGTATGTCACTTGACATTTCTGCCCATTCTTCCTGTCCTTCTCTAGATACCAGATGACAATTTCAGCATTCCAGAAGGAGAAGAAGATCTGACAAAAGCAATTAACATAATTCAAGAGCAGGCCACAGACACTGAGATTTTGGTGAGAATTCTGAACATTACTCTAGCTTGTAGTTTAACATGAATACTTTATATGAAGCATTGGAAGTAATTTAACTCCAAAGTATGAAAAAATACTGTCATCTGAAATATCTTTTCACTTTTATTAATTTTTATAACGCACACTTAAAGTAAACTTTATTTATTCTTTGCAACATTGCCAGATAATGTCTATTCTTATATGAGTTTTTACCAACTGATACCAACAGTTTCCTTTCCTGAGAACTGATTAATCTAGTAAAGAGATTAAGTCAAAATTATTCCGCAATGATATTGACTGTGTCAACTACAAATTATGCAGTAGGCTTTATAAGCATCTGTGTCTTTGTTTTCCCAGAAGAATACAGAATATATAGATTGCTTAACATTTCATGACACTTTCTTTTCTGGGACAAGAACTAATTTTGTTAAGAATAAAATAAGAAATCACAAAGCTTTTTTTTTTTAACTAAGAGTTTCTTACCAGGACAGTTTTACAGAGACAGGTTGCAGAGAGAACAAGCTATATACAGGTGAAGACAGAATGAACCAGAGAATGATAAAGGGCTAGAAGATTAAAACATATTGCCAGAATTATTTTGAGACCAAGCAGAGAGATTCAGTCAGAAACCAAGGGAAGCTCAGCTTGGAGAGAAGTTTAGACCAGAAACACGCTGAGTTGAACCAGACAGTGAGAGTTCAGAAAGGGCTAGAAAAGCTTGGGAATGGCTCTCATCTCATCCCCTCATCAGAGGAAATAAAAACATTTACAGTCTTTAAAAAAATAAGAAATTATGTGTGATAATATTAAATTAAACAAGACTCTTGACATCTTTCTAACACTGAAAAGAATATTAAAAAATTGACCATAATTTAATGAGACCAAAAGACACTTTATAATTTCACACAAACATTAATTTAAAAGGATGCTTTTATTTAGTTGCAAGCATGGCTTCTTCAGTGAAAAATGGTCTATTAGACTTTGCTCTTCTTTTTAAAAAAATTATTTATTGTTTTATATTTTAATTATTTATTTATTTTTACAAAAAGATAATTTTAAGAAGAACTGAGTAGTAAGGCTTTCTGGAGATTGTCACATCTATCCTTCTCATACGACAGATGAGACGACTCAGGCCCAGAGAAAGAAAGTATTCAGACTGAGTCAAACCATTCATTGGAGCATAATACAGTTTAATGTTTTTTTTTTATTACTCCCTATTTTAATGCTACAATTCAAAGTGTCTTGTTTAAAGGGCCATGATTCAAAGTGCTTAACTTTTCATATGCATACAGTCGTCCTACCAATTCCCGTTATTTTTGGTGAAATACAAAACTGGATAGGTAGAGTTATATGTGTCTCAGAAATCCTCATTATTTATCAGTGTAGAGGGTGACTGTGATGCAGGCAGTCTGGGATCCACTGGGAATCACTAGACTGGACTCCTTTCCCAGCCTCCATCAGTCACTCTGGTACTTAACAGTGTATCTGGTCAAATACTTCGTTTGACTAGAGGGGAAACAATCCAAGTCACAAAAGCAATAAAAACTTAAGGTCTTGAAATAGTCTAAAGATTAATAACAGTAAGATTCAAAATTATATCAGAATATTGAGAGAGGGGGATATGGGAGGAGGGCAGGAGAGAGTGGGAGGGGACGATGCAGGGGCTACAGCTGGGACGCAAAGTGAATAAAGTGTAATGCGTCCCAGCTGTAGCACCTACATCGTCCCCTCCTCCTCCCGCCCTTCTCCCATACCCCTCTCCCAGTCCACTGATAAGGGAGGTCTCTTATACTCATTTCAGCCCCTTTATATTTAGTAGACTTCTTTCCTCTAGGAATCTGTTGAATCTTCCAGTTCTCTATATATTTAACAATTGAATAAACCTGAAAAGGAAGATTTCATGAGTCCGTAGTTGGTTACACCCTGTTATGAATGCAGTGATCTAGCTCATAGTGAAATGTATCTTGTGATAAACTCAGTGAATAAATCCCTTCTAGGAAGGCACAAAGTGGGGTCTCTGACATAGCTCTACTAGTCTTTTGATATCTCGATGCTGTGACTTACAGGAAAATATTGAAAACAGTCTTTTGGATGAAGTTAAAAGGCATGTTTTTTTCACTGGTTATCTTACCTCTTAATTTGTCATTTTGTTAGTAAATGCCATAGTTTGAACTCTAAATAAAATGTGCGTGTATTATATTTAGGGTAACTGTTGAAGGCATGGAAAAATAGGTATGATCTAATTCAGTTGTACTTTATACTAGTTTTTCACAAGTGTTAACATAAGTAACTATGGATCTATGTGCCAGTGCCTGTATGTGTGTGTATACATATTTGTATACACAAATATAGATATATGTATATATGTATATATATATGTGCATGAATGTATGTATTTCTCTGTGTGTATTCCTTAGAGATGATAATTATATAATTTAAAGAGTGAAAGGTTTATTTACATTCAGTTGGGTTTCCTTATATAAAGTTTTCTTGTAAGTATGTTATGGTTATAGGTTCCTTACAGACTTCGATTCTTGTTTACTTTGCCATCTTTTGTAGTGCTAACGTTTCTGATGATTTTAATTTTTTTTATTTTTATTTTTATTTTTATAAAAATTTGACTTGATTTTTAAAGATTCGTATAAAATTATGATGAAGTTTCTGATATTTTGGCCTTCATTTTCTCTATACCTTTCTTTCTTTACCTCCTTCTCTAAGACATTCAGAAGAATAAAGTGATTTCTTGAGAATGTTTATGTGTTATTTTTTTATGAAGTCAAAATGAGGTCTAGGCCAAGCTACAGTGTTGTATGCTTAACAATTCCCAGAGTATAACGGAGGTCTGACAGTGCTGCTCTTCTCACTCAGCTTTTTATTCTGTTTTAGAAAGTGTGTTATTTTTTTACAAGATTGGCATGTTAGCATATAAAGTTTTATTGTTGGCTGGGCATGGTGGTGCACACCTTTAATCTTAACACTTGGGAGGCAGAGGCAGGTGGATCTCTGTGAATTTGAGGCCAGCCTGGTCTACACAGTGAGTTCCAGGACAGCCAAGGCTACAGGATAAACCCTGGTTGAACCCCTCCCCCTCCCTAAAGCTTTATGGTAGCCGGTTTGGTGACATACTATAGTAGTATAGACCAGAGGATCATGAGGTAGAGGCCAGTCTAGGTTAAACTGTGAAAGAAGTTTTATTGTGATTACTTTAAGACAAATAAGTACATATTATAGAATTTAATATTTCATATGAAAACTCTTGATTGTTATTGCTCATATAGACAATCTCTCTGGAGTCTTCAATTAAGAGTATAATTGTATTCTAAATACAAAAGCATGAAAAGCGTGAGAAGCCCCATAGGTGTTTTTAGAAACTACAGAGAATGCATTCTCTTTTAGTCTGTTTTTTCCTACTTCTCTTCTTCCAGTTTTCCCAATTCCTTTTCTCATCCATCTCATAAAAATACTGTCCACAGCCCCTATGGAGTTGATGAATTCATTTACTTTCATTAGGATGGAATCCATAGTATATACTCCTTCCATTAAACTGCTCCAGCAGTTATTTGTGCTGTAGTATTTCTAAAACACAAGGTGCCAAAATGGGTGTCGTATTTAATAAATGAAAGCTATCAACATATCTTTTCATTTCTCTTTCCTTTGTTTTTCAGTTTGCTATATTGTGCTGAAAGGTAGAGCTTACCTCTTTATAGTCCTTCAGGGCCTAATATTCCTCTTGACTCAGCATCTTTGTAATTGTTGATGCTGTTTCTGGCTTTCATTTATAATTGTGTTCAAATACTCCTTCATTCAGTGCTAATTGTAGTTTGGAAAGACACAGTCCTAACTGGTGAAATCTGGAAGCTCAAATCCCCAAGACCACAGTTTCTGTTGGAAGAAGGCTGGATAAGATTTGGTCAGCCCTGAAATTATACATATACAAATAACGTTAAGTGGATTGAGAAAATTGTATTTGTGTATTTAGGAATATATATGTATATAATAGTAGTTAACAAAAATGAAGCCCCAAATTTGAAAGCAAGCAGGGAGGAGTACAATGAAGAGTTTAGAGGGAGAATGAGAAAGGAAGAAATGTGATTATATTTCAAATGATGTGATTATAATCTCAAAAAATAAAAAAAATAATTTTATAAAAAAAAGATGGATGGAAAGCTAAATTCTGAGGATGGAATTAGTGAATTTTTGGTTATTGAAAGGATATTTGCTGTCTTGGTGTTTATATTGTGACAAACCACTGATGAAAAGCAAATTGGGGAGAAAGTTTATTTTAGCTTACAGTTCCAATTCACAGTCAGGGAAATCATGGCAAGAGCTCAAACAGGACAGGAACCTAGACCAAGAGCTGACAAAGAGGACATGGAAGAGTGCTGCCCACTGTCTTGCTCCTCGTGGCTTGCTCAGCCCACTTTCTTAGAGTATCCAGGACCACCAGCCCAGGAGGGGTACTACCTACAGTGAGCTCTGAGAACTCAATGGCTTTTCTAGCCCAAAGTTTAAATGCCATCACAGCCCTTGCCCCCTGCAATAGTCTGTTTCATCACTGCTCCTAGTACTAATTTCTATTTCAGTTAGGGTTTCTATTGCTGTGATAAAACATGATGACAAAATGAAACTCGAAGAGGAAAGGGTTTATTTTATCTAACAGCTTGTATTCCCTCATCCAGGAAAGTTAAGACAGTGAGAGAGAAACCTGGAGGCAGGAGCCTATGCAGAAGCCATGGAAAAGTGCTGCTTACTGGCCTGCTCTCAGGGCTTGCTCACCATGCTTCCTTATGCCATCTCCTACCACCCCTGTGGGTCAGGCACACTCACGTCAATCATTAATCGAGAAAATGCCGCACAGGCTTTTCCACTGACCATTCTGGTAGGCTCATTTTCCTTGATTGACGTTCTCTCTTCTCAGACGACTCTGAGTGTCAGCCTGTGTCAGGTTGACATAAAAACTAGCCAGCACAGTTGCCCAGTTAGTTAATCATGTACTAATGCTGTCCCTGCATACATCACTCCATGCTTTCTTCAGAACACTCAATTCCTTAGAAAAGGCAAGAAGCTGGTAGGCTTAGCAGCTTTCTGAATATAAAGTGCTTGTGGTAATGGCAATTGGTTCAGCATTATGAAGCACACCAAATGGGGAAGTATTCCTGTACAGGATTTGGATTTGACTGCTGAGGACGATGGATGTTAGTTTGCTGCCGAGACAGAACTAGTGCGTGCTTCACCGTGGTTAGTAGATGGTCCTTTAAGAACTGTCACTACTTTTAAAGTTTTTATTTATTTTTATTTTTAAGTCGCTTATATACAACCCATGCTCCTTCTTGCTGCATTCTAAAATTATAGAATACATTCTGTCTAACACATCCTGTCTTAGTAACAGGAGAAAAATGAAGCAGTTTATAAATTATTATTTGTAGATTGTGGACTTTGCAGAATAAAATGGATTCAAATTGAATCACCAAGTCATAAAATTAGGCAATCAAGGCCTGTAAGAACAAACTTTAAAAAGTCATCATATTGCTTTTTTTTTTTTTTTTTTCTGTTCAGCCCAGCATGTTTCCAGAAATGTTAGATAGGTATATTGGCTCCATGACCTGGTAACAAGGAATCTTCCGTTCAAAAACGGGTCATTTGTTTGCATTGGCATTTCTTCCTGATGATGAAAATGTAGGTATACAAGCTTGAAGAAGCTAGCCATGTTACGGCTTGGTTTGGAAATAATGATGTGAAAGGCACCACATGAAGACACTTACACCACGGTGTTGCTGCCCTTCCCTAGCAGTGCTTCTGCTGGGCTTGTGCTTTGGATGTGGGCTCATGCTGAGTGGGCTTCTGGTGTCCACAACAGCATGGAAGCATTGCTTCAGAGACGCAGAGATGGAGTAAAGGATACTCATGTTAGAACACAATGAATTTCAGAAATTTCTCAAGTAAAGCATAGGAATTTTTCAAGCAAAGCCATACGGAAGAAGAATGTGAATGTATTCTCTGAGGAGTCATATCCAGACAGAGAGAGATATTTTTAGTGTTGCAAGATCTGAAAATACAGTTAATGTTTGCAGATGTATGGCTACTCTGAACGACTCCATATTCGTAATCGCCCACAATCTTCTTTTCTGATAAACCTTTTTATATCTTGAAGTTTGTTGTTAATCTCATTTTCACTATTTTTAGTTGTTATTATATTTTATAATTCACTCTCCAAAGTATCTCATTTTCATCTAATTTCCAATATTGGCTATATAAATTGTGTAAAGACTTTTAGGGGGCTAATCAATTTATGCATTTAAAAAATCAGACTCTTCAAAAATGTGTTACAACATTGATGTTTTGAATGTGGGCGCTGTGTGTGAACCAGAACTCTGAAGCCTCCTCAGTAAGTGAAAGGTTGCCCTTATGCAGGTCTGCATGACTGATAGTAACATTTCCTGTGCTCTCAGCTCTGATCACAGGATGTGGCAGTGACTTGACTTGGCTTTTACAGATGTCCTCAAAAACCTCAGGGGTTAGGCTTGGTAATTCAGATGACTTCACTTGTAAACTTCAGCTCATCTGCCTCCTCCTAGTGGGGCACGTCTGTGCCTTTTGTGCTGACCTGTTTCCCAATGAATATGCTTTGTCTCCTCATAACTAATACCTACACAACTGCCATGTGCGTATGTGAAATTTCATATTATAAAATGTTATGCAGCCTTTTTTGAATGAAGTGGCCTCTGAACATTATATGTCATTTTATGCTTGACGAATAAGTCTCATTTTAAGAGTGTACAAGAGTGAACAAGAATGAGTCAAATGCCATGTAAACACACTTCCGATCTATTTTTCACAAAAGTTTGTTTTTGCAATTTTGATTTTGATCCTTTGAGAACTGAGAGTAAGGATTTTGATCTTTCTTCGTTTTTAATATTTGGGGTTGTGAATTTGTGATTATGGCCCAAATCCCACTTTTTTCAGGGAAACCTTCCTCTATGCCAGTTCTTACCTAGCTACAGTAATCTACACACATACTTCCCGTGGATGGGGAGGGCCCTGTCTTCAGGACACAGCTTTTACATTCCTGGATACCTACTAATATCTTTCAGAGTATGTGAGATAAACATGCGCATGTGCACACACACGCACACATGCGAGCACACACACACACACAAACTAGTTATTCGTATTTTGTCTCTCTCCACTTAACTGTTATATTGGGAAGAAGAGATGTTTTGTTTCACCAATGCCTTATTACTAGGCATTAAAATAAACCCTGGATTATTATACTCGAGAAAACATTGTTTAAAAATGAGTAAGTGACTGTGTACTGTTCTCTTAATAAAAATCTCAGTGTTCGTAGAATAAATAATTGTGCATTTAAATTTCAGGAGCAGACAACAGTTCTTCCTTCAAAGCATGTAGTACATGAAGCCATAGAAGACTTTCTCTGCAATTTCTTGATCAAAATGGAAATGAACAGAACTCTGGACTCCTTTCAGGCAGAGTGGTAAACTATTATGTAGCTAAGTAGTTCTCCAGAAATGCTAACAGCATTTACGTGTGTGAATTTAACTTTCTTGAAGGACTTTATAGTACAGAGTGCTTTCGTTTCTTTTCCTGTTGCTGTGATACAATACAAAAGCAACTAAAGAAGGGAAATGTTTATTCTGGGGCGAGTTCATGTTATGTCACATTATGTGCCGTCTGCTGTGGTGGGAATGTCAAGAGAGCTGTTCGCGCACTGCATCTGCAGGAGGAAGCAGGGATCGCTGAATGCACGCTGGTGCTAGGCTCCCTTCCTCCATCTTCGTGCAGTCCGGGGTCTCCTCACATTTCAGCAGTTACACATCTGTGAACAGGCTTATGTACCAAGATATGCAGAAGTCAGTCTTTTAGGAGAATATTTAGGTTAAAAATATTAGTAAAGATGATGTAGACACTATTTAAATGTAAGTGGCATAAAATAGTGAAAGCGGTGATGTCTTAGACTAATCACTTGAGGTTTTACTTTGTATCGTTTTTATCAGCCCAGTCTGCTCTTATGCAGTATTCACTTCTCCCAACAGTTGTATGTATGTGGCAGGTAGCCACTAACATATCTTCATTTCATGGATGAGGAAATGGGCTTAAAGAGGATGGGAAATCTCCCTCAGTAAATGTCAGCAAGTCACTGCCAGTCAGTGGCAAAGTCAGCCAGGCCAGACTGATCTTAACCACCACTCTCCTACCTTAAATTCATGGATGGAGACTGGGCAAGCTTCTGGGTGTCTTGAGTTAGAGCTCAGATTTTGAGCTCTAAAATTTCCATTTTGCAATTACAGAGTCAGTTGTGTCTTCCTCAGTCACTGCCATTTTTATTTTACTGAGAAAATAGAAGTTTCACAACTCCTACCCCCGTCCTTTCCACCTGCTGGTTCTTGCTCAGGCATTCTTCCTCTCCTGCCCTGACACTGAAGCATGCTTGCTGTCACCTGTAGCCACCTCAGTCTTTGGCCTTTCGTCTAGAACCCACCTCCTCTGCCTACTCAGGGCAGTGTACTTGCATTTGTTGTCCCCTCCATTGGCTTCTCCCTCTGTGTTGGAACATTCCTATAAGACACGGGTGTGCTGGGGGAGTATTTCCTGACTCTGCTTCTTATTGAAGTTTTGTCTGGATTTCCTAGTCTCTGCCTCATTTGCACATTTTTCTGACTTACTTCCTACTCACATCTACTCTAATTGGTTTTCATCTACTTCATTACTGAAGCTTTTTAACAGTGACTTTCACATTGCTATGTCTAGCGATGGTTCCAGGCTTCTGTCAGATTTCATTTCCGTTAGCATTCATTTCTTCCTTCTTGGGACCTTTTATTTCCCTTGACTTCTTGGTCAGTGGTCTCATAATCCCTCTTAGTGGTCTGGCCTTAGATTCTTTTGGTAGTGTTTTTGCCTTCTCCACCTCACCTGAACCTTGAAACCATGGAGTATTTTATTAATGAGTCCCAGTCATTTTATTTCACTCCCCGAACTCATCTGTTCTGGTGTCATGACTGTAAAGCAACATTTATATAATGATGAAGTGCAATTTTAAATTGCCTGCCCTGACTTTCTCCTGCACTTCTGATGTGTATTATCCAGGATTTATCTTCACATGGATGTCAGCTAGACACACGAGCTGATATGGGTGGAAACAATCCCTTGGTTTTCCCAACTGCCCAGCTCCTACTCTCTTCGTTCCTGCTATGTAGATGGCTGCCTGTTACTGAGCCCCAGACCTGGATGCTGTCATTGACTTCCTCTTTGATAATATCTGACAGATGATTCATTACCGAATTCCTTTATTGCAAGTACAGAAAGTTCCCTTCTTATAACCTCTATTGTTCTGTATCTTGAAGTAGATGCACCCTTTTGAAACATAAATATGATTACTGTTTTTATTTTGTTGCTGTTGTTTTGTTTCTGTTTTTGTTTTAACCCCAGAACTTCCCATGGTTTCTTCCTGATCCAGGGTAAAATAAATTTCCTTATGCTGGTTCCTCTTTTTGGTTTTGCCATCTCTCATCATTTTCTTTGTTCACTCTGTTGGCTTCATTTCCTGCTTTTCTACAAATACTGATTTTTTAAAAAATCTTTGTTGTACAGGCTGAAAATGTCTATGTCTCTGGGCCTTTGCATTTGCTGTCAGCTTTAGGTACTCCTCTTTCATGGACATACACGGCATCATCACTCCTTTTTCTCAAGTCTCTCCTGGAGTCCTTTGGCCACTCATGCTTGTCAGTCATGGCTACTCTGTAAAACAGGACCAACACCGCCCAGTCTTAATCCTTCGTTCTCTGCTCTCCAGAACTTACTACAGTCTCTGATGGACTGAAAATTCTCTGAATATAAGGACTTGAGACGATTTTGATATGTTTGCTAGTGATTAGGCATGGGGATATAAATGTCCGATTGTATTTTAAAAACTAGATTCACTGATATTTTATCCTAATAACATATTAATATTGGTTTAACTTACAAATAAGATATAACAACTAATTTCTATCAAATTTGCCAGGACTGACATTTTGAATTGCATACAGTATTTTAAAGTAGGAAATTGAAATAAACCCTGTTGTCTGATTTGTCCTAGGTATGAGTTAATACAGAAAGGAAAAACTGAGTTTAGTGAGATTGGGAATGTTCCAGATGTCTATAGCCAGGTGGTGCTTTTAGAGACTGAGAACAAAAACTTGAAGAAAGATTTGAAACACTTCAAACAGGCAGCTGAGTATGTTAATATTACGTTTTTCCTTTTATTTATGCTGAGTAAAAAATAGAGATGGATTAAGATGATACATGTAATGTACTGTGTGAGAAATTTGCTTCTGGATCACTGAATTATAATAAGTCCTAGTTGTAAGGTTGTGAGTTAATTGAGCAGGTAACTGGCACTCCTGCCAAGCACAACTCACCGATGGAGTGGACCACAAGGTATGTGTACCAGATGGTGAATTTGTTACACAGCAATCATTCTCTGATGTGTGTGACTATGTTTTGTAGTTTGTGAAATTTCTCTTGTGTAGATAAGCTAATTTCAGAAATAATAATGAATTTAATGGAGAGGATGAAAGGAAGGAGCTAATGTGTTCTTAGTAGCAGGATTTCAGTATTTTTAAATCCCTCACAAGGAATAGTGTTAGCTAAGCACTTTGGGTAGTAACAAATGCATTGTTGTGGTGCATTAACTATCCATAAACTGATATTTATTGGGTGAAGACATATATATTGGGTGAAGCCAGTGTACATAGAGGGGTGAGAGGCACATGGGACTTCTAAGGATCCCCTGATTAAGTTTTCTGTAACTTTAAAGGTTTATGTTGAATGATAGCCTATTAAAAATAAAAGTATCAGCATGCATAGTTTACTCTTCACCCATTGCCAAGCATCTGTCAACAATTTTTGATTTCCTAGTGTATATGCACAATTTTAAATAAAATATTAATGCTGATGCTGTCATGTTTGCTGACTTACTTTTAGTCAAAATAAATAATAACCTTTTATTATTTTATTTATATTTTTATTAATACAGACTTTATTCACAAAACTTAAAAATAACTCTTGAAAGGGACTCTCTTTCTTTGTAATGTTAATGAACAAAATAATTTTTGGTGAATAATTTTAGGTAACCAGCCAACCTATTTCTGACAAAGAACTATGTGAATGTATTGATGTGGGGAGAATGTACTACTGTCAGACAGTGTCATGTGGAAAAAAATCAATCTTTAGCTCTAGAAGAAAATTCATGCTTTATTCATCAATTATTATTAAAGATATTTAAGGAATCTTTCCCTTTATGCACATTAACACAGTAATTAGAGTAATGTGACCACAGTGAGGAAATGTAATTTTTAATATATTCTAATATATATATATACATATTAAAGAAACATAACTTTGTATGCCGAGTGAAATATTTAATATAGCCTTTCCTTTTGAAAAGTCTAAGTAAATTAGTTTTCATGCTCCCTCTCCATGTCATGCACCTGTAGGAGTGTTCTGCCAGTTATGCACATCTTATCTTTTCTATGTAGAATTTTATGTGTCACAAAGATTTGTGTGATCGTCCACAAGAATGTGCTGCCTGAACCATTCTCTTCTCCACTTGGATCCATTGCTCAGAAGGGCTTTGAACTCTGCATCTCTGCTTGCTATGACTTTGAATAGACAGTTTGACCAATGGGAATTTGACGCTGCCTAGAACAGTTTCAGCCCCCATCTCCTTTGAGCAAATTTTGCTAATTTGCTTTTGAGTAGACAAAAACATTTTAGGCAATGCGTTTAACTCCAATAATACTAAGTAATCATTGTTGGTTACAGGGTATTTATTAAATAGTATATTAAAAACTGTAATCAAAATTATGTAGGCTTTTACTTATGTAAATTGTTCTTTTAACATTAAAAGAAGCCATAACTTCTTTTAGAACATAAAGAACATAAAGAAGCCATAAAATAGGTATCACTCAAGTGAAATGTGTCTTTGTATTTGCTGAACTTTCAAAGTATAGTTTCGCCCTCAACAGTTGCTGGCTATTGCTTGACTCTGACTTGGTACCATCTACAATCTAGCAAGTGGAACAGCAAACTGTTTACTTGCTTTACTCTCCTTCTCATGCAAATTTGAAGAAAAGCCTCTTGTCCCTCAGAGGATGCTCAGTGCTTGCTGAGTGAATCTTGAGTCCGAGATGTGGTTATGAAGCACATTTTGTTGAACTAGTCCCTAGAGCCTTTTCTACTAAAATAGTGTCAGAAAACGCTGAATGGAGTTTTGTGAAGTGTTCTCCAGAAATATCATTTATATGTTTGTTCAAAAACGTAATCTTTTGGAACTTAGGTTTTTTTTTTATAAGACTTAAATGTGAAGATATTTTTCAAATGGCAGTTTGTGTTAAACATGAGGTTCTCTTTATGGAATTTAATTGAATGCTTACCTTTTTAGGATTAGGCTATTTCTTAAAGGTGGGTATACTGATATTTAATGGTTGAAGAGAATCAGCTTGTAGATATGTCATATGGCCTCCTTGATCATATAGGTATCATTTAATGATTCACTGATTCAAGTTAAGGGCTAGGTGTGGCCACGTGTGCACCTATCACCCTGTGTGCTGGAGGTGCTGGGGTGACAGGAGAATCACTGAGGCTTCATGACTCCCGGTCTAGCCATGGGTTCCCATAACAAGTACGGACCAGATCCTATGAGACTAATGTGTAGAGACAAAACGACATTTGTTGTCCCCCTCTGATGGCTGTCTGCCTGCAACCTGCCTGTGTAACACATATAAAACAAAAGCACACAGTGGAAGAGGAATATTATGGTTAGTCTTCAGTGGCCACATCAGTCGGTTTAGAATTGCCATGAAAGACACCTTTTTGTTGTTACTGTGAGTGTTTCAAGAAAGATTTAACTGAACAGAAAAGACCTTCCTTCAATGTACATAGCAGTTCTATTGGGAGTTTGAAAGACCAGAACACTTCAAGAAATAGAGACAGTGGTTTTAGACAGAAGTTTTAGAGGGAAAGTCTATCTGGAGCTTGCTAGAGTCCATTAATTTTACGTTTAGCAAAGAATCTGGTTGTACTGTGCCTGAATCGTAGGATCTTTAGAGACTGAATTCTAAATTAATGGACTGACTGTTTTGGGGGAAGAAATCACAAGATGGTATAGCATTTGGGTTCTGTTAGGTACTGCTGACTGCTCTCATTCCACACTATGGTACAAGGAACAGTCAGATCAGTACATAGTTTAGTGAGGAAAGTGGTGTGAGCTTAAAGTTGAAGACAGAGTAGCCCAATTGTGCAATACTTTGATGTTATGACATGACCTTGTCATAGAAAGTTCATGCTTGAGAACTGTGTAATTTGGTTCTCATAAAATCTCAATATTTTAAGTAAGTGCTTGCTTTTCTGTTGGGCGGTATTCAGGTTTACCTTTCTGCTCTGCTGTATTCAGTCCCTGATGAATATCCCAGCATCTGTAATTGTTAAGGGGTTATCCTTATCAAGAAGAAATCTATTCTACACTGCGTCAAAAGGAAAGGTACTCTGAGGGCAAGACTTCATCTGCAGTGGTTCCTGCTTGTGAAAACGCAAATTCGTTTGAAAGGAGAGACTCTGAGCTGCTAACAAGGTTCTTTGTTTCAAAATGGCAACCAAAGAAGAGTGTTTCTTCAAGATAATACTTATGAAGAAAAAATGCTTGTGAAGAAAAATCCCAGCTTCATTTTGATCTGCATCAGAACTTAGACATATCATCTACATGGTGCTGGCTTTTGAGCATAAACTACACAAAAGGAAGGTGGTCATAGGGGCTTTCTTCAAGGTTTCAGAAGGTCTCTGAATCCAGGCAATGTGTGGCAGGGGTATATTTCCTGCAAGGAAGCTTTGATGGGCCTTTGTATGAATCTGGAAAGGTGAATCCTATATTACAGTGAGGACACTAGGATGATGGAGATTACAGAACTGTTCAGTACCCTCCGAAGAAAGCTTCAAGCTTAGAGTAGACTTGACCCAAATGAGAGCCACTATGTTGTAGGTGTTGGAGATCTACAGGACACAATGGGAGTCCAGATAAATTCATTGAGAGTTCCAGAAGGCAGTCATGGAATTGCAGGGTTTTGTTTTACATACTGGCTTCATTGTTGCGTTTACCTCACTCCTATCTTCCTGTTACTCTCTTTTTGAATGGGAATGTTTATTGTCTGGTGTTGTACAGTAGATGTCTGTAGCTTGATTTTCTATGTGCTCACAGTTAAATGATTGTCTTAAGTCTCAGAAAAGATTTGGAGTTTTTACATTTGAGCATCATCGAGACCATTATAAACTGTCGGGACATTTACAGATGTATCAAATTAATTTGCATTCTGTGATGAAAGTAAGACTTTAGGGACCAAAGATAGAAAGTTACAATTTAAAGTGATGTGCTCTGATGTTATGCTGACCAATGGGTGCTGTTGTTGTGGTTAATCATTATTGCCAACTTTATTGGATTTAAATTACAATGGAATCACACGTGAAGATTTTATATGTGTATTTATATGTGTATTTTTATATGTCTGTTTGTATTTTTAAAAGTATTTATTTATTTAATCACTTTATAGCCTGATCCCAGACCTCTCCTTTCTTTCTTTCCAGTCTCACACTCAAGCCCACCTCCCCGTCTTCCCCTATCTTTCATCTCAGAGATGCGGAGGCCTCCAAGGGGTACCAACCCAACCTGTTACCTTCCAAAAGTGTTTAATGGAGGAGGGAAGATCTTTCCTGTGTTTGGGTAGCAGTGTCCCATGGATTAGAATCCTGGACTGAATGAAAAAAGGAGAAAATGTGTGACACTTTCATTTCTCTCTGTTTATTCCTGAGATAATGTAGACAGCTTGCTCTCATGTCCACACTGTCATAGAATTATTATCCGTTATTTTGTTTGTTTGTTTGTTTGAGACAGGATTTCTCTGTGTAGCCGTGGCAGTCCTGGCCTTGTTTTGTAGACCAGGCTGGCCTCAGAGTCACAGAGATCTGCCTGTCTCTGCATCCTTGAGTGCTGGGATTACAGGAGTGTTTCTCCATTCCTGCCTAGGACTGTACTTTCAAAATGTGAGCCCAAGTAAATAACCATTATAAAAAATAAATACCAAGTATTAGCTAAGATATGGATTTGGAACCTTGTGCACTGTTGGTGGTAATACAAAATAAGGTAGTACACTGGAAAACAATATAGAAGATCCTTGGAACATTACT